GCTGGAGAGGGGACACGAGTCCTGACCCTGAAGGGATGGGCTGTCCCCACGCTGGAGAAGGGACACGAGCCCTGACCCTGAAGGGATGGACTGTCCCCACGCTGGAGAGGGGACACGAGTCCTGACCCTGAAGGGATGGGCTGTCCCCACGCTGGAGAGGGGACACGAGCCCTGAGGGGATGGGCTGTCCCCACGCTGGAGAGGGGACACGAGCCCTGACCCCGAAGGGATGGGCTGTCCCCACGCTGGAGAGGGGACACGAGCCCTGACCCCGAAGGGATGGGCTGTCCCCACGCTGGAGAGGGGACACGAGCCCTGAGGGGGTGGAACTGTTCACGCACTGAGCTGGGGCTGCTTCTCATCCCCTGTGCTGGAGGGAAGCGGCCCCTTTCCAGAGCAGTTCCCCCAGTGCCCATCAGTGCCTGTGCAAGCCCTCCTTGTTGCTGCCGCTCAGCCTCTCCCAACAGGAGAGAGATTTTCAAGCCAGATTTTTTCATCGGAGGGTCCTAAATCTACCATCAATTCCATAACATTCCCCAGGCTCCGCTCCCAAGCCAGCTCAGCCTCTGGTGAACAAATCCTGCAGGAGCCCGACGCGCTCGCCTGCCCGAGACCTGCGGCCGCACTGCCAAAGCTTCAGGGCTGCAAACGCTTCCCGTGCTGCCCCGCGCAGACCTGCAGAAACGTGTCCGGCAGCAACACCAGCAGCCGTCGTCTTCCCTCACAGCCTGCGCTGGCTGCCGAGAGCTGAGATTCACAGAGCAGAGCCTGTTGCAAAAAAATCCAGCTCCTGTTTTTTCTCCCCAGGACACGGAACAACTATTTTATTCAGCCCTTTCCGTGACTGACTCAACACCACGTTTCAAACTGACGGTTCGGGTGTTTCTCTGCCTAGGTGCCGGCAGGGTGACGCAGGTTACTGAACCGTGCAGACTTTTGGGTTCATTTCTGCGAGCTGTTTCCCCGCTGCCCACACACCAGCTGGTGCATGAGGAAGTCAGACGGGAGCTTCGTGGCGTGCGTTCCTGCAGGAAACCGGTGCCTTTGCCACAGCCACCACGTTACCAAGGGTACGGTGGGGGAAGCGAGCCTGGTGAACAGGAGCTGCACAGGTTTTGCTTTTTTAATGTCTGTTTAGCTCCATGGAGTCATGCACACGCAGGAGAGTCTCGGCTTTCAATTTGCATTGAACGTTTTTTGCACTGAAAGATGCCAAAAGGAAAATATTAGTAACAAAGGCAAAATAACTCAAAAGGCAATGAAAACCAGCTCAGTGTTTATCTTCAGAAAAGCCTTGGGGTTCTGAAGGCAGTTTGGGGGGGTGCGTGTGTATCCTACTGCTTTATCCCAGTCAAGGCAGACAGGGAAAGATCCAGTAATACTGGCAATTTCCTGGTTAAAACAAAGCAACAGCGATATTAGCAGCTCATCCTTTCAATATATTTTGCTGTCATCTACAGTTCAAGCACCGTGCAAAGGGATTTGCAGTCCGCTCTGGACACCACGCTGCGATACCATGCTTCCTCCTTCCTTGCAGAAACTCCTTTTAGCTGTTGGGAGAACGTTCACACTGCGACTGGGACAGCTACACCTCCACAGCCCAACTCCTGAAGGTGAGCTGCCATGGAAGGGGAGGGTCACTTTCTTTTCTTGGTGACTTCTGTGGCACACACATTTTAGATTCGGAAGCAGAAAAGAAAGGGCAGTGAGCCTGGCTGTCCAGACCTGCCTTAGG